CCCTACGGTGTCGGGGAATGCCACTTCTGCTATGCCCTGGACGACGTGCTCGGATAGCGGCCGCGCTCAGGGACCACCCCCTGCGCACCCCCTACGGTGTCGGGGAATGCCACTTCTGCTTTCCCCTGGACGACCGGGTCGGATAGCGGCCGTGTTCAGGGACCACCCCCTTGCGCATCTCCTACGGTGTTGGGACATGCCACCCTTGCTATGCCCTGGACGACCGGCTCGGATAGCGGCCGCGCTCAGGGACCACCCCGTGCGCACCCCCGACGGTGTCGGGAAATGCCACTCCTGCTATGCCCTGGACGACCGGCTCGGATAGCGGGATCGGATAGCGGCCGCGCTCAGGGACCACCCCCTGCGCACCCCCTACGGTGTCGGGAAATGCCACTCCTGCTATGCCCTGGACGACCGGCTCGGATAGCGGCCGCGCTCAGGGACCACCCCCTGCGCACCCCCTACGGTGTCGGGAAATGCCACTCCTGCTATGCCCTGGACGACCGGCTCGGATAGCGGCCGCGCTCAGGGACCACCCCCTGCGCACCCCCTACGGTGTCGGGAAATGCCACTCCTGCTATGCCCTGGACGACGGCTCGGATAGCGGCCGCGCTCAGGGACCACCCCCTGCGCACCCCCTACGGTGTCGGGAAATGCCACTCCTGCTATGCCCTGGACGACCGCTCGGATAGCGGCCGCGCTCAGGGACCACCCCGTGCGCACCCCCTACGGTGTCGGGAAATGCCACTCCTGCTATGCCCTGGACGACGTGCTCGGATAGCGGCCACGCTCAGGGACCACCCCCTGCGCCCCCCCCACGGTGTTGGGAAATGGAAATGCCACTTCTGCTATGCCCTGGACGACCGGCCCGGATAGCTGCCGCGCTCAGGGACCACCCCGTGCGCACCCCCTACGGTGTCGGGAAATGCCGCTCCTGCTATGCTTTGGACGACCGGCTCGGACAGCGGCCGCGCTCATGGACCACCCCCTGCGCACCCCCTACGCTTTGCTGTGCTGTGCTGTGCTGTGCTGTGCTGTGCTGTGCTGTGTTGCGCTGCGCTGCTGTGCTGTGCTGTGCTGTGCTGTGCTGTGCTGTGCCGAGCTGTGCTGTGCTGTGCTGTGCTGTGCTGAGTTCAGCTGAGCTGTGCTGTGCCAAGCTGTGCTGTGCTGTGCTGTGCTGTGCTGAGTTCAGCTGAGCTGTGTTGTGCTGTGCTGTGCTGAGCTGAGCTGAGCTGTGCTGAGCAGTGCTGCGCTGCTCTGCTGTGGTGAGCTGAACTGAGCTGTGCTGTGCTGTGCTGAGCAGTGCTGTGCTGTGCTGTGCTGTGCTGTGCTGAGCTGGGCTGAGCTGTGCTGTGCTGTGCTGAGCTGGGCTGAGCTGTGCTGAGCAGTGCTGAGCTGTGCTGTGAGGGCCGAGATGGAGGTGTTTGCGTGAGACGCGGGTGCGACGCAGCAGGGATGAAATTCAGAATTCCACTCAGCATGTTGGGAAATACATAAAACATGAACAAGCACAAATGAAACAAATCATCAAACAGTAAAATTGAAAAGTGGGAAAACATGCAACACATAAAAACAACAAAATAATTCATACAAAACACATTTTAAACAAAAACACAACAATTAAAGCAAATCACAAATTGTTTGGGAGTTTTTTTTTCGATATAAGAGCCATGTCGTTTCTTATATCGAGTGCAGGACAGCCGCATTCAGCCACGCGTCGTCCTCAGGTCTGCTTGTTGATTTTGTGCAGTGGCGATTCTTACTTTGGATGTCTCTGAAGAAACAGCCCTTTAAATTATAGGTTGGCTCCGCTGTCCGTTCGCAGAGACATCGCTGTTGTAGGCTTCGTTCATCGTGCTGCCATTTTCTTCATTCCCTCTCTCTTCTCCTCCCTCGTTCCCTTCGCTCTCGTTCCTCCCGTCTCCACAGCAGGCAGCTTCACGACCCGTGCAATGCCACTACCCCAGATTATGTTCTCCGGTCGCCGCTCCGAGGCGCACGTCTGTACATTATCTTGCCGGAAGTTATCGTGCGGCAGTCGTTTGTCCATGACTTTCAACAGCCTCTCCAAGAATTCTTGACCTTTCGGGTTCACGCTGCAGTGAAAGGTATTGCTATCCTGGCGCCAGCCTTGCGCCAGCCTCTCGCTTTCCACCCGCTGTTAGCCCACCATTCATGGGTTCTGGTGTGAATGGATCTCGCTCTCTTGCTTCTTCCTCTCTTTCTTTTTGTCCTTCTCTCTCTTTCTCTCTCTCTCTCTTTCTCCCTCCTTTCCTCCTGCTGCTGTCGTGTCCCGCCGTCGCGTCGTCCGCATTTCTTCTTTTTCCCCCTCCCCTCCCCCACTTCCGACCGCCTTGCGTGGAGCGCAGGCGCGCGTTTTGCGCGTTGCCTTGCACGGAGGCTTTGGCTCGTTCCTCCCCCCTCTTCTCGTCCTCTTCCCTCAGTCCTTGTCGTCGTGGTCGTCGCTGCTGCCTCCTTCCCCTCTCTCCCCTCTCTCTCTCACCTCTCTCTCTCTTTCTCTCTCTCTCTCTCCCTCTTCCTTCGATTCTTCTTCCTCCTCCTGTCCGTCGTTTGAAACGCATGTCATTCTCACCGACGGCCGTTTGCTCGTCTGTCTGGAACTGACAGATTGTGGGGTGTTCATGCGTGACCGAGGTTGATAAAAAGGAAACACAAAACATGCTTTTGGTGCGGGCTTTCCGTTTGCGTCGTCGGTGGTGATTTTTCGTCACTTTTCATTTAGTTCCCGCCTCATTGCCTCTGGCAGTGTTTCAATATGTTCTGCGTATGGCAGCGCTTGCTGTGGTGTGGTGAGATGTTGTTGCGTACCGAGGCTGATGAAAAAAATAATAATTCAGCCATCGGAACCGCCAGGCGCGCCGGGTTTGCTAGAAGCGCCAGTTGCGCCAAGTTTGCGACATGCACCATCCGTGCCTGACGCGCGGCGTGCCCGAAGTGCCGCAGGCGGAGACAGGCGTGCCATTCTACGTGGCCGCACAGCAGAACATATTTTGATCCCGACGGTTCTTGTCGAAAGCCATTTTTTAGTTGCAGCAGGGTGGTCCGCATTGTATATTGTGTGCAGCCATGATAGATGAGCGCATAGCGAACACATGTGTTCACCCCCCGCATCGTTATCACAAACAGTTTAGAGTTAGTGGGGGGGGGCCGGTCACGCACATAATTAATTGCCACACGCTTCCCAATCAGTGCTTGCACTGAAGGGGTCCCAGCGGATGTTCCCCAATCAGTGCTGCACGGAATGAGTCCTAGCGGATGTTGAAGGACTTGGCGAAAGTTCCCCGCCGACTTTGGTTGGCAGGCTGGGTTCCCGGGTTTCCGGGTTCCCGATTCGGGGTTCCCGGGTTCTCCGTTCCGGGTTCCGTGCCAATTTCGGAGGGCGGCGAGGTTCCCGGGCTCCCGGGTTCTTGGTCGATCTTGTTATCGATCGGTCTCACCATCGATCTCATTACCGACTTCTCTATCGATCTCACCATCGATCTCACAATCGAATTCACCATCAAGCGATCTCACTAGAGATCGCATGAGCGATCTCGCGATCGATTTCACTATCGATCTCATTGAATCGAGTGTGTTTTCGCTCTCACGGTCGACCTTACAGTCGTCCTCACTATCGATTCCTTTAGCGATCTCATTATCGTTCTCACAATCGATCCCAAGATCTATAGTATCAATTTTCAAATCATCCACTGATTGGGTTTTCTCAAGTGTAATTCCCCAAACAGTGCTTGCACGGAAGGGGTCCTAGCGGATGTTGAAGGATTTGGCGAAAGTTCCCCGCCGATTTTGGTGGCAGGCTGGGTTCTCGGGTTCCCGGGTTCCCAGTTCGGGGTTCCCGGGGTCTCGGTTCTGGGTTCCGGGCCGATTTCGGAGGGCGGCGAGGTTCTTGGGTTTCCGGCTTTCTGGTCGATCTTAACATCGATCGGTCTCACCATCGATCTCATTACCGATTTTCCGACCGATCTCACCATCGATCTCACAATCGATCTCATTATCAATCTCGCATGCGATCTCACTAGAGATCGCATGAGCGATCTCGCGATCGATCTCACTATCGATTTCATTGAATCGATTTCACTCTTGGTCTTCACGATCGACCTTATAATCATCCTTACTATTGATTCCACTAGCGATCTCATTATCGATCTCACAATCGATCTCAAGATCCATAGTATCAATTTTGAAATCATCCACTGATTGGTGTTTTCTCAGTTGTAATTGAAGGATTTGGCGGGAGTTCCCCGCCGATTTTGGTGGCAGGCTGGGTTCCTGGGTTCCCGGGTTCTCGGTTCCCGGGTTCCCGGGTTCCCGGGTTCCCGGTTCCGGGTTCCGGGCCGATTTCGGAGGGCGGCGAGGTTTCCGGGGTTCTTGGGTTCTTGGTCGATTTTGTTATCGATCGGTCTCCCCATCGATTTCATTACCGTCTTCTCGATGGATCTCACCATCGATCTCACAATCGATCTCACTGTCAATCTCACAAGCGATCTGACTAGAGATCGCATGAGCGATCTCGCGATCGATCTCACTATCGATCTCATTGAATCGATTTCACTCGGTCTCACGATCGACCTTACAATCGTCCTCACTATCGATTCCACTAGCGATCTCATTATCGAGCTCACAATCGATCTCAAGATTTATAGTATCAATTTTGAAATCATCCACTGATTGGGGTTTTCTCAGGTGTAATTTTTTCTTGGGGGTGAGATGGATGGTGGGAGGCCTGATTGTTCCTTGTCCGCGGGGTGTCCAGTGGGGAAGGGGGAAACAGGTAGTGAGCAAGAGTTCCTTTAACCACTTCGCCCAGATGGCTGGTTGGATTTATTGCGTCGCTGCGGCCCGGTAGTCCCAGGCTTGGTGAGGGCTCTCCGTTAAACAATGGTGCTCGCGCCCCTGTGTCGTCAATTTTCTCTTTCTTCGGCCCCCCCCTCTCCTGTGATCCCTGGCCATCTCGAGGGTGTCCCACCGTCTTACCCGGCTGGAAGTAATGGCTTCAGCTCGTTGATCGGCCCTGTCCCCGATTACCCGCACCCCTCGGGCTGCCCACCATTGCAATGTTTGCTCCGCCCCAGAGCGTCTCACTGCAAAGATTTGCCGTTCCAGTTTCGCTCCCCTTTTCGTTCTTCCCGCGATTGGCGTCCGCCTTGGAAGTCGTTCTTTGTTCTCCTCTGTCCTCTTCCCTTTCCCCCCCATTCCCCCCTTATGCGCACTTTTTTGGTCGGCTCCGACGCTTTGCGGCAATGGTGTTACTCTCCGTTGCCGCGGATGTCTTTCGTTCGGTCATGCCTCCGACCGTGCGTAGTGCTGTGTGGGTCTTGCCCTGGCATTCGCGGACGTTTTAATTCAGAAGCGCAATTGTGGCGGGGCGTGGTGGGGTCACTGTTCGCTGTTGTCCTGAGGTCGTCAAAAAAGGAAGAAAGAAACGTACAACATAAAGAACAACCGCTTCTGGCCCTTGTGTTGCTGCCGCTGTCCCTGGGTTGGCTTGCGGCGAAGCCCGAACCCTACCATCGCCGATCTGCGATTCAGGCAACCAGAGGGGCGGCGGGGTGTAGGGTTCGGAATTCGTCGAACACGTGGCGAAATCCGAACGCTTCCATTGCCGATCAACGGTTCAGGCAAGCCGAGGGGCGGCGGGGGGTAGGGTTCGGCATTCGTCCGTTGCGAAATCCGAACCGATGCAGGAACACATGGCACGGTATTTTTGGGAGGCCGTCATCGGGTGGTTCCTCCGTTTTTGCCAGAGGGCCTGGTACCTCTTCAGCAGTGGCGTGCCGATCGGTTCCCCACGGTGGCGTGTCGTTGATGCTGTCCACTTTTTTTTTTTTTTTTTTTTTTTTTTTTTTTTTTTTTTTTTTTTTTTTTTTTTTTTTTTTTATTTTTTTTAAAAAAAAAAGAAAAAAGAAAAAGAAAAAAACAAAACAATCAGCCCGCAAGGCTTGCGTGGCTTGCGTGGCGTGATTGTCTGGTTGCGGAATTCGGTCCGAGGCTGATGCAACACTTTCAGTCGAGATCCGTGCCAAGAAACACTCTGCTTGCCTCCAGGGTGCTCTGGGTTTCGTGGGTTTCGATGGTTTTGCTATGGAAGGTGTGACGCTCCCGCGCCAAAAATCAAGGGACGTCCTAGGGTCTCAGGGTTCGGTTTCCCGTGAAGGGTTCTCTTGGTCGAGCCCCTACTGTAGGAGACAAGTAAACAAGTGCGGCCGTGTCCCCGACTGTTCCTGGCCCTGGTGGTGCCTTCGGCTGCTGCCGACCTCCTTCAGGAAGGAAAAAAACACACAGACACAATTAATCGTCGATCCCGTGGGGCTCCCGTGGGTCTCCCGTGGGGCTCGCATCTTTGTCGTCGTTCTCTCTCCTCCTGGGGGGGTGCTGGAGTCAACACTGTGTAGCCTGCGTTGGTCCCCAAGCGTTGTGTTTGAACGCGCCGGGGGCGTTCACTCTGCGCCCGCCGGTAGCCAAACAACGCCACAGTGACGTGCATGCCAATACTTTTCGTACTCAGCAGGTTGCGTCTAGCAGCCCTCCAGCGCGCCACGGCATTGTGGCTCCGCTTCCTCTGTGCTGTTTGTATGGTATTTCCCGGCCCTAGTCCCTGTGCCTGTCGTTTCAGTTGCTTCCTCGTGCTGCCCGCGCGGCGCCGATACGTTTTGAGGGTAATTCGTGTCGCTTGAACCGTCCGCAGCTCCGCCCTGCTGAACTTTGCTCGTGCCCGCGCCCGGGGCCATTGCCCAATTTTGGGGCCTGGATGGTGATCCTCGACTCGTGCGCCTCGTTTCTCCTCCTCCTCCTCCTCCTCCTCCTCCTCCTCTCTCTTCGTCCGCCTTCCCTGGCATCGGCGTGAAAGCTGTAGGGTAATCCACAGCGGCCGCCGGGCCACGCTCCGAGGTCACTTTTTAAACGTCACTGGCTGTCTGCCGTACCTCTTGCTTGGACGAGCCAGCCGCCGCCCGTTGCTGACGAAGAGGCCCCTAGAGGGCACGGTGGAGTGACAATCGTTCGCAGGACTGCTCCTCTACGTGGGTAAACATTTTAAGACCACTCACGTGCACGGCAATCGAGGTAGCTTGTTCGGGAGGAGAAAATTAATCGTCTATCCTCAGGAAAATATGGGAAACTGTGAGAAGTGGGGGGGAAGACAAACACCCAGAAAACATAAGCAATATAGGGAATCCTGTTCTTTGTGTGTATTTTTTTGGGTGTCCCAGGGCCCCTTCACTCCTCCTCTCGGGTCCGTCCCCGATCGCCACAAGCCCTGGTGCTCGCTTGGTCAGCTGTTCCCCGCCTCTGCCTCTCGGCCCTGGCCCGGGCCGTCCCTGGTTTCGGACGGAGCCACCCTGGGGGGGCAAGTAGCACTTGCATGCCCTTCTGCTGCGTCCCGTGGTGAGCCGTGACCCGTAAGTTGGTAACCCCTGCGGACTCGCCTCCCAGGCTCCTCCCGGGGTAGCCGCGTCGCGCGAGCCTTCGCGGTGATACGTGCGTGAGCCGCGATGCCCGGCGCGCTGTCGAGGGCCAGCCGTTCTCTTCTTTGTCGGTTCTTCCGTGGTCATGCGGCTACGACGGTGTGGTCGGCGTCCTTTTCCTGCTCGTCCTCCTCCTCTTCCTCCTCCTCCTTCCTCCTCCTCCTCCTCCTTCTCCTCGTGCCCTCTCCTCCTCCTCCTTCTCCTTCTCCTCCTCCTTTGCCTCCTCCTCCTCCTGCTCTCTCCTCCTCCTCCTCCTCCTCCTCCTCCTCCTCCTCCTCCTCCTCCTCCTCTCCTCCTCCTCCTCCTCCCTCCCTCCTCCTCCTCTTCTTCTCCTCTCCTCCTCCTCCTCCTCCTCCTCCTCTCCTCCTCCTCCTCGTCCTTCTCCCTCCTGGCTTCTCCGCATCCTCCTTCTCCTCTCAGCTCCTCCCCTCTTCCTCCTCCTCCTCCTCCTCCTCCTCCTCCTCCTCCTCTCTCCTCTTCCTCTCTCCTCCTCCACCTCCTCCTCCTCCTCTTCGTCCTCGTCCTCCTCTGTCCTCCTCCTTTCGCCCTCCTCCCCCTCCTCTTCCTCCTTCTCCTCCTCCTCCTCCTCCTCCTCCTCCTCCTCCTCTCTCCTCCTTGCCCTCTTCCTGTTCGTGGCTCTCCCCGTCGTCGTCGTCGTCGTCGTCGTCGTCATCTTTGTCCTCGTTGTCATCGTTGTCGTCTTCGTCGTCGTCGTCCTTGTCGTCGGCGTCGTCGCCGTCGTCGTCGTCTTCGTCGCCGTCGTCGTCGTCGTTGTCGTCATTGGCGCCGTCGTCGTCGTCGTCGTCGTCGTCGTCGTCGTCGTCGTCGTCGTGGTTGTGGTGGTGGTGGTGGTAGTCGTCGTCGTTGCTTTTCTCCTATTTCTGGTCGCTTTTGATACTTCTGCCGGTCTCTTCTATTTGGGGTGGCTTGTCGCTGGCCCGTTGCGAGATGGGCCAGCTGCAAGCCACACCTCCACAGCGGTGCGAGACTGACCCAGCAAAGGTGACGGCCGGGACAGGGGGGAGACACGGCCATGTGCACCCGAGAATCCCTTTTACAAGGGATCGTTGCCGCCCAGATTAAACATGCATGTAACCAGCATTGAAGCGAGAGCACGGTATCCGCATAATTTGTGAGAAAGTCTCAGAAGCAACGGCTGCCAGACCAGGCGTCCTCGTATTCCCTGCCCCCCCGTGGGACTCTTCTGAGGTTCTTTTTACTTCTAAGCGAAGACGCCTACGGCGAATCACCGCCGCCGCCTGCCTTTTTGGAAACGCCCATGCGGCCAAACGTTGGGCCAAAGTCTGGCTAAGCTATGTGTTCTTCCAGCCGTTGTGGAACCCCTTCGGGGACCGTTTGGGATAGGAAGGAAATGACGAGAAGAGGGAAGAGGAGGACGCGGAGAAGGATGAAGAAGAGGAAGCCTCTTGAGGTCCTCTTGGGGCCTACTGGGGCTTCCTTGGAGCCTCTGAGCGTGCCTCTTGGGGGCTTATTGGGGCGACCCCCTGTGGCCTCTTGGGGGCATCTTGGGGGCCTCTAGGTATGTCTTGGAGCGTCGGACGCCTGAAAAGGTCAGCGCGCCGAAATTATGGACAAATTTGAAGGACATATCTTTTTTGTTCCTCCTGGAGGTCCTCTTGGAGCCCCCTTGGGATGTCTTAGGGCCTCTTGGGCCGTCTGGAGGTCATTTTGGGCTGTCTTGGGACCACCTTGGCCGTCTCTGAAGCGTCAAAGTGTTGTCTTGGGCCCATCTCAGCTGTCCCCGACCATTTTGGCCGTCTTGGAGGCCACCTTCAGTCCATGCTGTGCGATGCAGCCGACGGGAAGCCTATTTGATGGGTCCGTCTGGGTGGCCGGCGCGATCGGCCGGGACCCCGCTAGAGGGTTTTCAGGAGGGCCATGACCGACTGAAGTCCGGCATGTCGTGCACCCCTGTGGCAAGCCATCCGAGGCGACGGATCGAAGACGTCCGAGGCGAATCACCGCCGCTCCCCGCCTTTGGGATTGCTTGTGCGGCCGAACGCTGCGGCCAGAGCTCGGCCAAGATATCGGAGGAAGTGTTCCCTTAGCTGGTGTGGAAACCCTTCGGGAAACGCGTGGGGCAGAAAGTTGAAGAAGAGGAGGAGAGGGAGGAAAGAGGAGGAGGAGGAGGAGAAGGAGGAGAAGGAGGAGGAGGAGGAGGAGGAGGCGTCCTCTTGGGAGCCTCTTGAGGCGCTCTTTGGGCCTGCTGGGAGCTTCCTGGGGGCCTCTTGGAGGCCTCTCGGAGGTTTCCTTGGGTCTCTTTGGGGCCTCTGGAGGCTCCTGGCGTTCCTGGCCCGTCTGACGCCGTCGATGCGGACTTTGGGGCCTCTCTGGGCCGGGACGTGGGGCCCTCGCAGAGCGCTTCAAGGCTGTCTTGGGGACCATCTTGTGCCTTTTTGTTGGGCCGTCTTGGGGGCCTCTTGGGCCGTCAGAGGTTCATCTCGGATGCCTCTTGGGCGCCCTGGGGGCCATCTTGGTGGCCTCTCGGGCCGTCTTGGGCCATCGGATGCCCGAAAATGGGCAGACGCAGGAATCCATCAAAAACCCATGGGAAGTGACAGATTTTGACATCTTCGGGCCTTCCTCGAGGTCCGCTTGGAGGCCTCTTGGGCCGTCTTGGGCGATCTTGAGGCCATTTTGGGCAATCTTGAGGGGATCTCGGCCCGTCTTGGAGACATCGTGGGGGCATCTTGGGCTCTCTCTGGGCCATCTTAGCCGTCTTGGAGATCTTGGTCGCCTTGGAGTCCATATTGGGGCAGCCTGGAGCGCGAAGACCGACGGCCTGGGAAGTTTATATATGAGTCTTTTCGGACAACGGGAGACGTTTCTTTTGCAGCCTTCCCGGTGGCTGGCGGGAGCGGCCGAAGGCCCACTGGGAACCTTTGAACAGAACCAATCACTACCTCAAGTCTGTTACGCCGTGCGCCCCCGTGGTAAGCACAGGGGGTGGCGGATCGAAGACGCCTACGGCGAACGACCGCCGCCCCCTGCCTTTTTGGAAGCGCCTATGTGGCCGAACGTTGAGGCCAGACCTGCCAAGCCATCGGACCATGTGTTCCCCGAATCGGTTTGGAAAGCCTTCGGGGAACACGTGGGCATCTTGAAGGTCCTCTTGGCCGTCTTGGAGGCCTCTTGGGCGATCTTTCGGCGATCTTTGGGGGCTCTTGGGCCGTCTCGGGCCGTCGGAAGGCCGAAAAGAAGGACATGTCAAAGTCCGTCAAAAACCTCAGGAACATCTGTGTTTTTGGCCTCTTCTGGCCTTCCTGGAGGCCCTCTTGGGGGCCTCTTGGGCCGTCTTGGGCCAGCTTCGAGCCAACTTCGGCCATCTTGTTGGGTTCCTGGCATGTCTGACGCCGTCGGGAGCCGTCTTGGGGGCCTTTCTGGGCCGACTTGGGGCCCTCTTGGGGCGCTTCGGGGCCGTCTTGGAGGCCATCTTGGGCGTCTTGGAGGCCATCTTGGGCGTGTTGGAGGCCTTTTGGGCCGTCCTGGGGCCCTCTTGGGGCCGTCTTGGAGGCCACTTGGGCCGTCATGGGGCCCTCTTCCGGGCCTCTTGGGCGATCTTAGGGGCCTTTTGGGCCGTCTTGAGCCGTCGGACTGCCGAGAAGAAGCAAATTCCAAAATCCTTCAAACATCTCCGGAAAATCAATGATTTTGGCTCTTCGGGTCCTCCTGGAGGACCTCTTGGAGGCCTCTTGGGCTGTCTGGGAGGCCTCTGGGGGGCCGTCTTGGGCTGTCTTGGGCCGTCTTCGACTCTCTTGGGCCGTCTTGGAGGCCGTCTTGGACCATCTCGGGCGGAGTTGGAGGCCATCTTGGGCCGTCTTGGAGGCCATCTTGGGCCAACGTGGCCATCTTGGACACCATCTTGAGCCGTCTTGGAGGATTTTTTCGGGACGTCGGAGGGATTGGGCGATGGCGTGTGCGTCTTGCGGGTCTTGGGGGGCGGCCGGCGGGACGGGCCGAAACCCATTGGGAGAGTTCTTTTGGAAAAAGAACCAAAACCAAAACCGAAAAAATCCAGCACGCCAGGCACCCCTGCGATGAATCGACAGGGGGCGGCGGATATTGGCCTTCGGCCCATCCCGCCACCGTGCCTGTCTCGGGGTCATCTTGGCCCGTTTTGGAGCGCTCTTGGCCCCGAACAAGTACTGTGGGAAGCGCGGGGGAGCCGCGGGAAACTCGCCGGGAACCACGGCATATTTGAGAATTTGGAGTCCGGGCGTTTCAACTCTCAATGCTACGAATTGATGGCTGAGGACTGCAAGGGACCTGATGGCACTCCAACTCGTGCCTCGTGGCACGGTGGCGGACGAGCTCACGCGGGCAAGTCGGGACGATCAGAATGGATACGGAAATAATGGGTGTCTTTATCAAAAGTATTTCCTGGCCGTTCAAGAACCCTTTGACGAAAGGCCCTTAGGGAACAGTTACCTCCCTTGTGGCAGAGCCAGTCATGCTCCTCTCCCTCGCGCTGCTCTTTCTCTGCGCGCGCGGTGGCCGCTTCGTGGGCTCAGCGCTGCGGCGGGGGGCGTGGGGCCAGGCTGGCGCGCTTTCGGGAGACCCGCACTGTCCCCGCCAGTTCGGCC